GGGAGGGGGCCGGTGGAGGCAGGCCTGCCAGGGGGGTCCAAGGTCGGGGGTAGGGAACTGGATGCGGGCAGCGGGCCTGGCCAAGGGAGGAGAAGCGGGGGAGAACGGGGTGTCCAGGATGGGGTTGGGAGAAGTGGTGCTGGCCGGAGGCACAGCGGGGGGAGCAAATTGCCCGGCAGGGAGTGGGACTGACCCGGTCATATACGATCTCGGGGCGCTGTCCCCTTCCCCCCCACAAAGCACGAGTGAGTCTGGGGATTCTATTGTGCCCCACCCCTAACCCCTCGAGTAGTTGCGAACTGTCTGGCTGGTAGTCACACTCACGCAGTCTGAGCATGTTTGCCAGCCAGGCAGTTCGGAACTACAAACTGATACATCTAGTAATAATAAAACTTACCTAATGAGAAAATACCAGACATGTTATATGTTTGGTATTTTCTCTGTTTTATGCATTTATATTTTTGGGCTGCAAAAAACCAGTATGGGGGGGGGGAAGGGTTCCAACTACAGTAAAAAGTTTGGGAAACCCTGGTCTAACCAAATGTTCGTGAATAGATTTACTGGTCCCCGTGTCAAAGTTTGGGAACCCCTGCTGTACACCACTCCTCAGTGTTTGTCCAACTCAAACCGTTCAGGTTTTTCTAGGACAGTGGTTTCAAAGTGTGGTCTGTAGCTTGAGCTCAGCCCCCCATTTCCCCAACACAACTGGGAGCTTGCTCCAGCTTCACGCACAGAGGGCAGGAGGTGCAAAGGCAGGAGGGATTTCCCCTCACCTAGAGGAGGTGGGGGAGGAAGGGGCTCAGACTGGGAGAGGTTGCAAGTGGAGCCCAGTAGGGAGTGTTCTTTGAGCAGTGTCCTTGTGGGTGCTCCACCTTGGGTGTTTTGGCGCCGTAGCCCTGGTCAGCTGCACATGCGGAATGTTGGCGCATGACATTTGAAATGGCTATCCTGCATGTGCAGCCAACCACCTCCTCAGTTTCTTTGGCTGCTGCTGCTGGCTCCAGTTGCAGCAGAGCAGTTGCCCTTGGATTACCTTGTTAGATCTTT